TTTTCTGTGAAGTGTTTTTGTCCACTGTATGTTTTTGCTTCTATTCATTCAGTCCTAGTGGTGTTATTGATTCAGTGTAGCCTCTTTAAATGTCCTGTCTTGAGTACAAGCACTGATTTTTATAGGGCTACATTCTGGCTAGAGCACTGGCTGGCTCCATAGCCAGACGGGTGATAAAATTCATCAGCACTTAGGATCAGCACTTAGGATCTTCACGCAGAAACTGGCCATCTATCTCAGGTCTCAGGTTCAAGCAGAAGTTTTATTTATCACACAAACAACGTCTTTTTGTTATGGGTATATTTTGCTATATGGGTTTATAGGACCTAAGGAAAACTCACTTCTTGCCTAGGAATTCCTGGCCGCGTGAAGGGTCATTTACTGAGGTCAGGAGTGCTCATATACAGCAGAAAGAATGATTTCCTCTACTACAGCAATTACTGGCAAAAATCAATGACCCCTGTTAAGCTGGAGGCCAAGGTAAGTAAATGCAATAGTGCTTCCTAGTTTTAAAAACTCCCAGAGCCGCAGTGGCATGCCTCCCTTTACACACGTATTGAGGATAACCAGCCATCTAGACAAGATTCCTATTAGGACATCAAATTTCCTAGTATTCCAAGGTCAAAAAAATTATTTTAGTGCAACTGAAATGCAATCTTTAGCCAGCACTGAGATTGTCTAATTGATGTGAAAAAACCTCTGAAGACTTCATGCAGCTTAAGTGCAGTGCTCACCTATAAATTACATGAATGTTATGAACACAGTGTCAGACAGCTCTGGAGACTCTTCAATCACAGAACTCACTGTGCAAAAATAGTTCAGCTCCGATTCAGAAGACTCAGCTCTCCTGGCGTGTCTGTTCCCATGCCTCTTCAGAGCAGTGTCTGCTGAAACTGCTAACTTAATGGTCACTTCACCTTGAGGAAGAAGCGGGCTAAAGCCATTGCATTCATGGCACAATTATTAGTGCTCTTCACCTCTTTTGTTATTACTTTTTTTTTTCCCTCTATAGATTCAGGCTGGGAAGCAGACAGACTTGCCAGCTCTACCCCTCTTGTTGCAGGGAACTACTTTTAGAAGTCGCTTATTGCTCCACTGCTTTTTGTCAATTCGTAAGCTAAATGTGCAATGATGGATTTGGCAGCCACGCTCTCGCCAGCCACCCCCAGTCAGCTGATCAGCAGTTCCTCAGCCGCGGGGGGATGCGAAGGCTGCTCTCTCCCCATTCTGCAACGGGAGACAATTGCTCTGTCACAGAGGTTTGACAATGAAGGAGGGTCTCAAGGAAGCTGCAAGAGCAAGTTCATCTGTATCTGCAAAATTTACAACTACATGATGGCAACAGGGATCTGCCTGCGTGGAAGAGTCTGCCTTCCCATCATTAACCTCTTAAACCACCTGGCATTGCAATATTTCCTGCGGAACCACCTCCTCATTTTTCAAACAAACAAACTTTCCCTGCATTTGTTTGAAACCTTGGCACAACATTACTAGCATCATTTAAGTACAGACCAGAACTCAGCGGCAGCCAAACCTGCACCCTGCTGATTAGCATGCCTCACAGTATTTAACAGACGTTGGACTTCAGGACCCAAGAATTTCACTGCTCAAACACTTTATTAGTTCCCTAAGCCTAAAAATGGTTTTCAATAATGTGTATGCTGCTTTGGGGCCTCAGAAAATCTTCTCCTGGAGCTAGGAAACATTTCCCAGGAGGCAAAAATGTGGCCAAAAACATATTTGATAAAAAGGAGGAGGGCTAAAGATGGTTTTTAAGTGCAATTTTATTTTATTTCATCTCAGAAAAGTAAGCTGCAAGTTTAAGAGAGGGAAACAACTATTGCATTTGGGTTTCCATCTTTTTTAAAACAAAATCATTCTCATCCAGGGTTGGTGGGGTTTTTTTTCCCCTAAACCAAATAAACTACATATTGGAATGACCTTGTAACAGGTTTCTGTGGCTCTTTAATCACCAGTGGCTGCTAAATGAAGCATATCTATTTTCTCTGTAACATTACTATTGGCAACGAGGTCTTCAGTAAGTGCCCAGAAATATTTCCATGGCAACAAAAAGCATTCAGCATTGCTACTGTTTTGTGCCAATTTAGCTTTAAAATATTCTATTGTGGAGAGAAATATGGTACATTAAGTGAAATAAAGTCAAGATGCAATGTTCTGAAAAGAATATAAGGATAAACAGGAAACATGTATTTTGCAGAAATGGGAAAAAAAAAGCCAAATGGAAGGAAAAAATGTTCAAAGCTAATATTGATGCTACTGAACACCTCTGCTGAATGTCAGCAAGCCCATATGCTCGCTTACATTGTCACTTAGGGTTAGGTAACAAAGCTAACAGAAATAAGGATACCTCGTTTTCTCTCGACCATTTAAATCCATGACTGAAATTTTAAGTTGCCAGGGTATTACAGCCTCTCTGCATGTCTAGGTTACCATCAGAAGAGTTCATACTCTTGATGTTAGAGAATGAATCTAAAGGAAAAAGAGGAAATAAAGAGTTGAAAAATAACATACAATGAACATGTGTGTGTTTTGGAAGTGAAGGGGAGCAAAATGAGTTCTTCCTTTCAGAAGACATTCTCAAATTACAGCTCAGGACTTTCTCTCCTATTATACAACCTAGATAGTTCTAAGAAAAACGTCATCAGCTCTCAGGCCCTTCAACTTTCAAATGGCCAACTTCATGACTACAAAGTCTTGAGACCATTGGCTGTCCCTTTGTGCAGAGCATTGCATAGGAAAAAAAAAAAAAGACAAAAGACTATTTGAGAGATTTGGAGTGACATCCCCTCTGGTATAAAAAGCTATGCAATGCCCTCTCTAAAGTGCTTTCTGCAGAAGTAGAGAGCTCTAGGCAGCAGCAGTGTAGGTGCTGGGGAGCTCTGTAAGGCCAGCCTTTCAGTCCACAGTGGCTCCAGACAGCTTAGTAAGAAGGAAAGCCAATAAATACTCAGAGAGAGTCCAACAGCAACTTGATCAGTACTGCTCTCAGCTGGGAGAGAGGTTCAGAGTGGCCCCCTCCTTTAGCTGCAGTGATGGGTTACTCTGGCATCTGACTGCCACATTGTGTGACTCTCACCAGGACAATTTATCTGGTCCATCATACGCTCCTAAGGACCCGATTTCTCAGATGGCCCTGCAGAGAAGGTTCCAGGTGAGAAACTGCTTTGACAATGACAGCAGCCCCTTCTTGGCCCCCATTTCCCTGAAAAATCACTGCCTTTTCTCCCATGCACTGGGAGCAAGGATGTAGTCCAGAGACAGGACAAAGATCTGGAGGTCACCATCAGAATAGTGCGTTCGGCACATGGCTGCCCACAGCCTACTCTGAGGAGCCCCAGGATTTGCCATAAATCATTCTGACAGCCCCTCTTGGGGGTACAGGCTCTGCAGAAGGCAAGGTTGCACCCTGCATAGTACTTGTCCAGGAGGATCCATGACCCCAGCATGCCCTGGAAGGACACTACATGCCCCGCTCCTTGTCATCTGTGCACACTGGACACATAACCCAAGCGCACACAGTAAATGCAGCCCTGCATTTGCCCATGAAGAATGCCCATGGGCAGGATATCACACAGGCATTGTATAGGGATACGAGAAGGTAGGGGATCTGTACAGGCTAGAGGTTGAGCTCCAAGAGATATAACTCTGAGGTGCTTAACCTGAGAACTGGCAATTGTTCAGCAGTCCCAGTCTGGGAGACAGAACAGCTAGACCAAAAGCTCTTTTTAATTATTTATTCCCTGGCCATAACATTGTGAGGAATAGTAGTAAAGAAAAGAGCTAATTTTAACATTCATTAAAGAACACCGTCAAGGTTTATACCCTCTCAGTCTGATACTCCTATTAAAAATGAAAACAAACAGCTGATCTTCTGCAGTCTGCACAGAAAAGGCTAAATATGTAAGACTTCCCGAGAAGCCAAGACAGATGAAAAGCTCTTGGTCATTATAAAACAAAATTATTCAAAAGCATCTACTGCTTTAAAAAAAAAAAAAAGGGGGGAATTTAGATATTTTAAGCCAAATTCTGAAGACCCTCCATGATTCTCAAGCTCTTTGTTAGCTCCATGTTTTAGACCCACTTCCCTGGCCCCTTTCCATCCCTTTCCTTGGATGTTTGTGAAGAGCAGTTTTAACCCATAAGGACCCAAGCATGGTGTCAGCAGGACTGCAGCTTTCCTGCTTGCAGTTGGGACATACGTCTCCATCAGTCCTCTATGACCCAGGTAACTTGCAGCCACATTTATGGTGATATTTCATGAGTAAAAGTCACATGGCTGAAATCTAGTCCTGATCATAATCACCTGAAAAGCTGTTCATGTCACTTAATGATCAGAAGTCAGTTAGGCCTATTTAAAACTGAAAATATCAAATTCAGTCCTCCTTCCCATAATCTCTTGCCTGCTGTCCTCTTCAGGCTTACTTGATAAGCCTGTGGGGGTGGTGGGAGGGGAGGAAAGCGATTTGGGAGCCTTTCATCCATAAAATCATGAGATATGGCTGGCTTTTTAGTACCGCATTTCACAGCACATGGCACAGTAACATCTTGAGATTCCTGGCACAACGAAACAAGGTTTGAGATTATATATATCTTTAATAGCAATGACGCAAAGGCAGATGGTTCTCACAGCAAAGGCTTAAGGCTAAACATTCCCTTTGAAGGGTCCTGCTACCAGAAACAAAATATGGGGAGAGCAAAATACTCCTTGCTACAGCAACAGGGCCCCATTGTGTTCAAATATACAGCATTTCTCCCTGGAGATTTCCACTTATTTCAATGAGGTTAGTCTTACGAATGAGAGAAGAATTGGAAACAGAAGAGAAAAGGTTAGATTTTTCTTTAGGAATTGGAGAGTTTTATTGTAGCTGTGGGAAACAAAGACAACACAAAACATTATGAGCAGATTAGTAACTAAATCAAAGCAATACCAGAAAAGAGAGGTCTGGATAATACTGTCAGGGTGCGTGCTAGCTGCTTACCTGCAAAACTTGCCTTGCCATTATTACTTTTTAAGGAGCCACCCGAGCTGAGGTTGTGCTCATGACCTCCCATCCTCATAGAGGGCTCACCTTCTTCTTCAGCAATGGGAGGAAGCCGATCAAGTGGCTGGAGATCTTCATTCATCCAGAAAGATCCATTGGCTGTCAAAGACTTGGTGCTTTCAACACACTGCTCTGGTAAGCTGCTGGTATTTTTAACCCGGTTTTGTCTCTGCAGACCCATGTCAGTGCCATGAGGGAGGTCACGTGAAGGAAGATTAGGATCCCCAGTGTGACCATCTTCTCTAGGATATAAGTAATCCTCATCCCAGAGGTCCAGGTGTTGTTCATCATCTGATTCCTCAGAATAATCCTCGTACACTTCTCCATTATTCTCCAAGTCCCGGTTCTTCTCTTCTTCTGACTTACGACCCACTCCACTCAGATTCAGCAGTGAAGCAGATATAGAGTCTCCTGCTTGCTGGATAGCTTCGTAAATTTGAGACATCCAAGACGACAGTGGCTGAAGGAAATTCTGAGCAGCCTCAGAAGCCATGTTTAACACTATGCCAGTATCTGGTGATCAGTTGTTCAGCTTTGCCAGCATGTCACTTAAATTCAGGGAGCTACAGAATAAGCACCATAAGAGATTACTGTAAATTGCTTGTCCATCAACACCTGTCGACACACTATCTACGTAAGTTATCTAGAACTGAGAGGAGAAATGGAAAAAATACTTCTACCCATTGAGAATACCACTAGAAATCCAGCAATGATGGACAAATTACACACATTCCTGCAGAGATCTGGAAAGCTTTCATTCAATTGCTAAACCTTATATAAAAATAAAAACATAGAACATTGGAACAGAAGTACCTTTTCTGAAGTGCTCACATTCTGTTTACAGCTGTCAACAGACCTGGTAAAAAAAGTACAAGACAATCTGCAGTCAAAAATCTCAATTTCCTGGCCCTGACTTCCACCACATCTTTAGCATTAGGATGTCCAGATGGGAAAATTGAAGGCTGGAGAATCTGGGGAGAATTATGCTTTGATTGATTAAAGTGACAGGCCTAAATCATGCAGAAGCTGTCCATGGCAGACAACTATCTCAAAAGCTTTGCTCCAGAAAGGCTTCGAAGAAGCCCTCTCTGCCCACAGAGGAACAGAGCCCAGTGTTCTTTTGCCCTTAAAAAAAAAATGGAAAAAAACCCAAACAACAAACGCCACAAGAGGTGGAATATTATAGGTATGAAATTACTGGGAACAGAAGCAAGTGAACAAAAGCATTGGTATCATGTTGATGTGGTGTGTTTGCTCAAAATTCATCTCAACTCCAAATAAAACATGTATCTTGTATAAAGTTAAGGTGCCTTTTTGTCCCATACACATCTTCCCACATTATCCAAAGACAGATATTCTTTAAGGAATCCTGAGAAGGAGAAACCTACAAATAGGATGATTGGTTTAGAAAGAAAGAACTAAACAGTTGCAGATTTAGGCTAAAAGAACTTAAAAGAAGCAAAAGAAGCTTCAAAAATTAATACCAGTGTTTTGTTGAATTTAGAGGTCTGGGAGCAATCAGACCCTAAAACGGTAAATACAGTATAGGCAGCAAGAAAATAAGCTCAGCAGCAACGTGTATTACCTTGTAAAATGGTCTCCAGAGAAATGTAGTGGGAATCACAGTGGTTTGAATTTTTAGATGGGGCATGGACTAAGGAGATCCCATCTTGCTTGGTGAGCAGCCTTTTGTACAGATGAGATCAGTGACTTAAGAGGTCTTTACTTTTCGAAACACCTTTGCTGAATAATTTTGTTCAGCTATGTTGACTTACACTGCAGACACTTACAACAAGTTTATTATCATCCTCAGCATGTACTGAGAATTACAGTCCTAACAAGGGCAGTAAATGAATGTAGGTTACCAAAGCCATTTTAAAAGCTCATGGCTGTTACAAACTCCTTGGGCTCAGGGCACACACTGTTCCAGTATCCACCTGTCAAGCACTGGCCTCTGGCTCAGCCGCTGAGACGCAGGTAATGCTCCCTGCCACGCATTAAATCTTTGGCAAAGAACAGACATGTCACAGCGGAACATTCCAGGTGAGCTGTTGCCTTGATCGACTCTCCTCTTTCCAACCCTGCCCTTGGCAAAGCCTCTCTGCTTTGTGCCACTAACTTTCTCATAGACCTAAAGCAATAACACACTGCAAACCACCCCTTTTCAGCATAATGCAGATTTGCTACTGGTAAGTCACAGCACCAGGGAAGTAACTGGGAGGAGATGGCACTTGTAACAGTGAGATTCTCCCAGCCACGGAAGGAGATAAATTTGGATGGGTAAGTACTGGATGCTGGATACATTTTTAACCTGTCATTTATTTACAGGCAACAGCAAGCAAATCTCTGATTTCTGATGAAAGAGCTCCAGAACGCTCTGCCTCCGCCTCAGCAGCCAGACACATGACAGCAGTAGCCCTCGGAGGCATGCAGGCACCCAGGAGTGATAACTAACCAATACAGATAAAACATATGGGTGCTAAAATGAAGCGCTGATCTGTTCTAAAAATCAACAGAACATAGACTCTTGATATTTGCATAGGGAATAATTAGCTCCTCGTGTTATTAGATTTCAGAGCTAACACCCAGTTGGTCCAACAGAGCCATCCCACTTCTACCGGATGCTGTGGCTGGCTGCCGCAGGGCTCAGGCAAACAACACAGTCCTGCACAAGGGACTCGCGTCAGGGAGGTTGGTATCACAACACAAACACGGATGGGGTTTTTCAAGGTGAGATTTTACTTAAGTTACAGAATTAAAACAGCGACCTGCAGGGTTTGGATGTGGTCGCCCAGTCATCCAAGAGGTAGATAAGACTTGAACATGCATCTTGCATATACCATGTAGCTGCCCCAATCGTCTTGCTATAAGTAGGCAGGGGGAAATGACGCATAAACACGTGTATATATGCACACCCAGAGTCCTACCCAAGACCTGGAAATTTGTCTGGCTTCAATCTGAAGAACACAAATAATGGTTTGATTTCAGTTTATAGCCAATGGATAGGCACTGAAGCATATTCCACCCAAAAATCTGAACTGCTCTGCAGTAACACCTGCAACACATTTGCACATCTCGTAATGCAGTGCCTACATAATCTTCACAAATAAAAGCAATGCCATTTCATAGAATGATAGAATGATAGAATCATAGAATGGTTTGGATTGGAAGGGACCTTGAAGCCCAACCAGTCCCACTCCCTGCCATGGGCAGGGACACCTTCCACTAGACCAAGTTGCTCCAAGCCTCATGCAGCAGGCCTTGAAAACTTCCAGGGATGGGGCATCCACAGCTTCTCTGGGCAACCTGTGCCAGTGCCTCACCACCCCCTCTGGGAAGAATTTCTTTCTAGGGTGCCTGACTCTGTTTAGCCTTTGCTTGGCTTTTTCTCCCATTCTCTCCCTCTTACTGAAGACTCCAGAGTCAGTGATATACTGAACAACTGGAGTTCAACTGAATTATAAATCACTTACTTTTGGTCTTGCAGCAGATGGGTAAAATGTGTAACAAGCTGCAGACAAATTTAAGTGGGCAACGTTTTTTACAAACTCAAGAGAGGAGCAAAGGGGGCTGAGCTCTGATACAGGCTTGCTGTTTCCCAGGAGCTAGCAGGCACTGCTCTAACAGGGTGTTTATGATACATTTCACAACATGGCCTTTTCAACATAATGGATTTTTACTTTTGAATTCTCCTCCAATTTTGATTTGCATTAGGGAAAAAAAAAAAAGAACTGAGAAGAGCATTTAAAATGTGTAGGAAGGAAAAATCCATTTCTTTTTAAAAGCATTCATCAAAAAAGAGAGAGGGAAAAAAAACAGTTTAGCAAATTCACTTCAAGTTCCATCTTCTAAAACTAACCACAAGAATTTTCACACTGAATCGCCTGCTTAACTCAGAGATTTCTTTTTTCCTCTTGTAAAATCAGAGAGCAAAAAGGATCAATGTTAAGCCTTTCACAAAAACCATCATAACCTTTACTACAATCTATATTCCTTTGTCTTGTTAGGATCATTATTCCAGAGTAGCATTCCCATTGAGAGGTGCAATTACTGTATTGCTAAAAAAAGACAACTATTAGCAGAATTTCAAACACTACCACAATGCAGGAGTTTGTAATATTAGCAAAGTGTCTTTCAACCTTCTTGATATGAAGGATCCTCAAAAATTGCCATCAGATATGCATTTCTTACAACGATTTCCCTTATTCAAGCTGTCATAGAACATAGGCACGAATTTCCTTTTCCTCAGTCACTTTTTGTGATGCCCTTGCAAAAGTTTTGTACCAAATTTCTCCCTTGTAGGGAAGCTTGTAAACAGGTTGAAACCAGTGTCCCAGCATACAATAACTGATCAATTTTCAAGTGAGTGCTTATTTCTGAATCACTAGATGAGGAAGAAATGCACAGCCTCACCTCTCTGCCTGGGAAGGTACTGTCCCGTGTAGACAGTAGAGGAGGAAGTCAGCTCCCAGCTTCAAAAGATCAGCAGACATCTTGGTCACACGCTGTTTTCAGAAAGATGCATTTCTTTTGCCACTGCCAAGAAAATCGTACCAAGAAGCTTTTTTAGCAGTTTGGGCAGGCTGCTGAATCCATCTGTCCACAGCTACAATTCTGGGCACTGTGCTGGGTCACCAGATTAGGAAGCCACACTACGTGTACTCAGAGGAACAATTTCTGCCTTCCCCTCTTCCCAGAAATTTTAATTAAATCACTGATAATGATTTACCTTTTTATCCTGATGTCAAACAGACAGCATCAGCTCCTCATGCCCAACTGGCATGCCACTGATTGTATCCATGGACAGAAGCTTTATTTGTGTGGACACCTAAGTAAAGCAGTGTTGCAGACCCACCATGAAGCTTTGCTCCAAGCTTAGGAGGAAAGACCTAAACCAAAGTGTGAATCTAAGTTGATGCCCCTGAGCATCAAAGGTCTGCACAAATGGCATAGCCATTTTCCTGATCATGAAAGGAGGAAGCGAGGAAGGCTTGGAGGGGCAAGATGATTTAATAATTCTTTTTAAGATACTGAAAATTATAATGAGCCTGATCCTCCTTTCCGACTGGATCCCAATTAGCACACTTGTAAAATGGGAGATCAGAAATGTACTCTGCTGAAGGCAGGCAGCAGCAGTGCTGGGCTAAGAAATCCTCTATCCTAGTTCTGGGAACAATCTGGACACTTGTCTCCTTCTGTAGTTGCCAGAATCATGTTTAATGAGATGATAGCAAGGCCCTTCTACCCTCACACTGAAGGATCATCAAGCATTGCTATGATGAAACTGTATTTCCAGTTAAAATTGTCACAGTGCCAAAATGAGCCTGTGCACTCGAAGCTGTTCAGTTGATTGGAGCTTCTTGCAAAAGCGTTATGAGGAGAGTTCACAGGCAGTGCCCAAGGTTCACATCAACTGTGAGCGTCACTGCTGACCAAGTTTCCCTAAGGTAAAACAAAACAGAAATACAGAACATCTTGGTACCTTTTTGGCCT